AGCCCATGACCTTTGAATAAATCCACTCTGACCAAGGGATGGAGAGTGGTTGGAGTCAGTTGAAAAAAGAAGCTGGGACACTAGAATTGACTGGTAGACCTGGGACCACAGGTATCATTTTAAATTGTCTGGAATGAATTTTACTAAGGATTCATACTTCTCCAAAGTAACAATAGACTGCTTCACATACAAAATATAGTAGTAAATACCAAAGCCACTATGCATTTATTTATCGTTCAGGGGGAAAAAAAAAACAGCTGTTATTAAAAGAACTCCAATTCAGAGGTGAGAGGGTTTTGTCATTCTTACTGCATCTCCCATTTAGTCCTTTGGGTGGTTATTAGAAATGAATTTTTACAGTTGTTTTTTTTTTTTTTAATCCAACATGATGGAAACTGATGCTCTCTTTACAGACTCAGAAGACCGTGCAGGGACGGTGGGAAAGTCTGCCAGTCTCCAGTGGCCTTATTACTTTATTTCAGTGTCTGGACCCACTGTCTAGAAATCATGTCAGTACAGCAGAGAAAGAGGAAGTTAAGTCCGAAAACATAACTTTTCATGGAAAGGATACTGGTAGAATAATATATGGAAATATATAGATGTGAATAGTAAAGAGGCACAGAAATGTGCCTAAGAAATATTGCCTCAATAAATCTAGGGACAGTAAACTAACTTACACCAAAGTTAGTACAAGAATCCCTTAATGTTACCATCCAGGGAAAGCAGACATATTGTGGTAAGTCAGATACTTTAACAGAACCTAAGAATCACCTCAATAGAAACTAAATGCCTTTAGCCAAGGTTAAAGAAGAAACTCATTAATTAAAGTCTAATTAGAATCTCTGAATTCTAATATAATTTCTCCCATATTCATATTTTAGATGACTTAAAGTTGATGTTTTGGTCCGCCTCTAAATTTCCAACTGTAACAACATTTATATTCTAGCATATTCCATGTTTGGGGTTTGGTAAAACATCAAAGGAGGACAGCTGGGCTTTGGCTTCTCTCCCTAAGACAAACCCACAGAACCAGAACGTGCCCACATCCCCACAACAGAGAAAACCAGCTTGGGTCCTGGTCCTACAGGTGTTAACTAATTCTCACATAGGTGAGAGAAGGGGCAACTCAGCTTTACCAAATGTCAGACACAGTGGTAGGCATTGACATGGTCATCTCAGAAAAAGTGTTTAATATAGAATAAACTAAAACTTTCCCCCAGAGATATTTCTATTTTAATGAATAGGATTAAACTTCCAGAAATGCTTCAAGATCCAAGAGCATGAGTGTTTTAGTGGTGAAATTTCAAGTATTTGTTGAGGTGATTGAGGTAGATGTTTTGGCAAAAATGCCATTAAAGTCTTCTGCTTGGATCAGATAGCCTGTGAGAGGGGACCTGCCAATCAGTCCACTGGACCCGTTTCAAAGCCTTAGTTCACACAAATGGTGACTTTTTCATATTTTAAGTACCTACAGTGGCATATCTTCCCTCCTTTGCCTTTCACTGCCCTGGTAAGTGAGCCTTTATAATAAAGAACCTGGACCCGAGTCTCCATGGAAAGAGATATTCAGGCACTGTCTCAGGCAGAAACAATTATATCGTTGTGCCCAATCTTTGGAAGGCACATCCTTCTCAAGTCCTTAATATTTCCATGCGTCTTATGATCCCTGTCTGGGCCTGAAGCTTATACAATTTGGTGCACTCTGAACTCAAAATTATAAATGAAAAATTAGGTCACAATGTGAATATTTATTTAGAAAAGGAAAATAAATCACAACATGTTCTAAATGTATACATGTACACAACATATTCCAAATGAAAAAAAATTTAAATTTGAAAGTTGAGAAATACCATAAACATTATCTGGAACTGCCCGAGGTGTGCCTGGGTGGCTCAGTCAGTCTGCCTTCAGCTCAGATAATGTCCCCAGGATCATGGGATCGAACCCCAGGAGAGTCAGTAATCTCTCTAGTTCTTATAAAATTTGGTGATTGGCTTGCTCTTTACTCTCTTCTAGTTTTCATCTTCCCATTTTGTTTGTGTTGTCCTAGTCTTTACAGACTCTGCCTCTCTCCCACTTGAATTATTACAGTAACCAGCCTCTGGTTCTCCTCTGCATCCATTTTGGTCCTTGGTAATCCATTCTTGGAGCAGTGACTGGATGGATCTTTCCTTTTTTCTTTTTTAAGATTTTATGTATTTGATATATATAGAGAGAGTACAAGCAGGGGGAGCGGCAGGCTGAGGGAGAGGGAGAAGCAGACTGCCCGCTGAGCAGGGAACCCCATGCTGGACTCCATCCCAGGACCCTGGGGTCATGACCTGAGTTGAAGGCAGCTTCTTAACCAACTGAGCCACCCAGGCGCCCCTAGATGGATCTTTTCAACATGCAAATATGATCATAACGCCTCCTGCTCAAACTCTTCAAAGAGTTCCCAAAAGCAAAATCCATAACTGACCCACTCGGGTTTTTGTGATCTGGCCCCACCTCTCTCTCCAGCTTTACTTTTTCTGCCCCTGGTCTCTTCGAGCTCCTCCGACAGCGGCAGTGCCCAGGCTTCTTCCAGTTCCTCCACTGCGGGGCGCTACTTGCACTAATCGGGCTTTTGCACATACTAGCTCCTCCCATGTCACCTCCCCCTCTGTTTGTTGACATCCCGATCTGGACTGGATCCGGACTGGATTGTGCACTTAAATGTGTCCATCCATCTGGATTTTGGTTTGCTTGCCTTGAGAGCATTTATCCAAGTTTGCAATTATACTTTTATTAATATGATTACCTAACCAAACTGTCGTCTCCCCCATTAGGCGGCAAATTCCCTGAGAGCAATTTACTGCTGTACTCTCAGTTTCTGCCAGGTAGTATATAAAAAACAATTGTTGTTACAGCAGATAATCTGGTGCTATTTCCAAGAGCACATCAGGGTCGCCTGGGTGGCTCAGTCAGTTCGGTAGGATACTCTCGATTTTGGCTCAGGTGGTGATCTCAGGGTCGTGAGATCCACCCGCGCCCCCCACCCCACCACCTACCCCCGCAGGGCTCCCCGCTCTCTCTGGAGTTTGCTTGAGCTTCTGTCTCTCTCTCTCCATCTGCCCCCTCCCCCTACTCATCTCTCCCCACCCCCAATAAAATAAAATAAAATAAAATAAAATAAAATAAATACACCAGCGCCACTTACGGGCTTATTTCAGCCCCTAGAAATGCGTATCTCAGGCCCTGTTCCAGACCTCCTGAATTAGAATCTGCATTTCTTTTCTTTTTTTTTTTAGGAATCTGCATTTTTAACAAGATCCCCAGGTGATTGGTATCTGCATTATAGTTGAAGTACTGGGCTCCCAGCCATGCATGTGACAAGATCATCTCATACAGTGGCAAAGACCAAGTGTCAAAGGTGTGGCACCAGAAAGGTCTGTCACAGAAGCCCAGTTCCCCCGCTTAGTGTGTCATTCTGTTAGGATTTATTCAGAGATGTTCAAAGCCTGAAGAAGAGCAAAACTGGTTTTACATATATGCGCAGATGTCAGTGATGCCTCAGCTCAGGATTCGGGGCTCCCTGAAGACACCTTTTTATTTCCAGCTTTTCTTCCTTCGGGGCCGGAAGGACAGCACGGGTGCCCCTAGGGTGATGCCTGGCCTCCGCTCTGGAGGTGGCGTCTGCTTGTCAGCCCTCAGTGGTGTCTCCAGGTGCACTTTTCTTCTTTAAGCCTAGTTGCCAAATAGCCCAAAAAGCCCAAGTACTCACACCCACTGTGTGAGTAGAGTGTGCACGCGCAGAAATGCGCAAAGCGGAAAAGAAGTCGACGCTGGTGAACCAACTGTAACCCTCACTAGGACATAAAACCAGGGGCAAGTTGTTATGTTGAAATCATTTCTACCACTCACCTTCGAGGATTTAGGCCCTCAGGCTGTGGGGCCCTCTTGCAACTCAGTTGTTAGAAACAAAACAGGGGGGAGGGGCGCCTGGGGGACTCCATCGTTAAGCCTCTGCCTTGGGCTTGGGTCATGATCCCGGGGTCCTGTTGGGCCCCCCGCAGTATCCCGCTCCCTGCTCAGAGGGAAGTCGGCTTCCCCTCTCCCACTCCCCCTGCTTGTGTTCCCTCTCTCTGTCAAATAAATAAAATCTTTAAAACACACACACACACACACACACACACACACACACACAGGTTCTTTCCCTCTTCTCTTCCTCCTTCTCTCCTTTCCTCTTTTATTCGTCTTTCTCTCCGTTCTTTCATTCCATTCTCAGTTTTCCCCCTCTGGTACATTGTTTTCTCTCAAATAGAATGCTTTGTTCCTTTACTTAATTTTTTCTTTTTTTTTTTTTTTTAAGGTGTTTCGTAAATTCTAACTAGAATTCCTGAAACAGAATCTGTCACACTTGGCCTTGTTGCACGAGTCAGTATTGGCAAGAAAAAGTGTTCATCGAAGGTAACTCAGCAAAGCATTTTTTTTTTTTAAAGACTGTCATTCTGCATCCCCATGTTCGCTGTCAAGTCTGAGTCTCCATAATCACTGTATGTGAGAATATATGTTAGGATGTTTTCATTTTAAAACTAATAAGCAATGATTCCTACTTGAATACTGTATCGCTTGTTTATCGTGCTTTCTTCAGCCTCCACCCTCTAAATTTGTCTCTTAGGCCACCTGTAAGCTACACGAATCCCCTCTTGAGTTCGTGGGCCGTGGGAGGTGAAAGTGGAGTGTCAGCTCCGTAACCTTTGGGGGCTGGACAAGCAGAGCATTAGCAGCCAAGCACGCTCCCGCAGTCGTTTGAGAGGACACCTCGGGCTCTCCCGGTCAGCGGGCAGAGAGCGGCGCGGCGCGGGGCGGGGCGGGGCGGCGCGGGGCGGGGCGGGGCGGCGCGGGGCGGGGCGGCGCGGGGCGGGGCCGACTTGGGTTGGGGGCGCGGCGCCTGGCCCCACAGTGGGTCGGCACCTCCTCCGAGACCCGCGCACCGAGGAAGCAGAGCGACGTCGTGGCGGCAGGGGCTTCGGAGCGCGGGGGCGCGGCGGCTCGGCCCTGGGCAGCCCTGGGCAGCGCCGGCCGGTGAGTGCGCGCGAGGGGGCGCGGGGCCGGGAGGAGGGGGCGCGCGGCCGGGAGGAGGGGGCGCGGGGCCGGGGGGAGGGGGCGCGGGGCCGGCGGGAGGGGGCGCGGGGCCGGGCGCTCGGGAGGGCAGGACAGGCGAGGACGCGCACGGAGCGCTGAGGGCCGTGCCTCGGCGCGACCCGCGGCTGGGGCTCTTGGCCGTCCTCTCTGCGGTCTCTCGGGCTGATCTCTCCGGCTCTCGGGCTCTCACTCCTTCCTAACACTAACAGGCAACAAGTGAGACTTGCCGCACCGCACGCTCTCCGAGCGCTAACAGGCTCGGGTCTGAGGAAGGGCTTTCCTCTGGAGACGCCTCCCCCCACCCCCTCAGTGGCTGCGGACAGACTCGGCCAGACGTTCGCCTCCGCTAGCTTCTCACCCAACCTTCGCTCTTCGCCGCTTCTCCAGCGCTCCCAGTGCCCCGCAGACACTCAGCCCTGCCCCGCCGAGGCCCGTATCTTCTCGGTTCTCGCCTATCGGTTTCCCGTTCGGTTTCTAAATCTCGTTACCGCCTGTGGCCTCGGCGCTGGGACCGCGCGCTGCCTGCGGGGCCGCCGGGTGCCCGGCCAGGGGAGCTGTGGTTCGGAGGCTGGGAAGCAGCCGGCAGAGTCTGGCCGTGTCCGCAGCTCGGTGAAGGCGACGAGCCTTCCTGATTTACCATTTGGTGTCGGCGGCCTCCTGCCTGAAACTCCGCTCCCCGCTAAACACCTGCGGTGCGGGGCGCGCTGCCGCTGTAGCGGGTCTGCTGCTGCGGCCCCTGCGAGCCCCTGCGAGCCCCTCACGCATACTTAGGAAAGACCATGGCTCAGGAAGCCGGTTAACACGCAGTGACCGCCTCTCGGAGTGGGCTCTCTGGGCCAGGGGGGCAGGGGACGCATGCTGGGCCTTCTCGGTGGAGGTCAGGCCCGCGGAGGTGGAAAACCTGCACCGGGGTCTGGCAGCTGTCGTGGACGCTGTGGGGAAGGGGGCGAAGGTTCTTCCCCTCACCCTGGTCAGTTTGGGGTCTACAGCTGGTAAATTCTGAACGGACGCTCTAGCCACAGAAATGGTAATTCGGTGTGGGGGGGGAAACATTGAGATTCAGCTTTTTCTTATCTAAGAAACTGGGAACAATGTGCATTAGCTATAAATGCACATAATATGCATCATTGAGGGTAAGCTTGGAAATAGAGGGGAAGTTGAATATGTACGTAAGTAGGAGCGTTTTTGAAATGAAGTTTGGAGTAGGTTTTTGCCAGGCAACCCTAATTACTGTAGCATTTATTTGTTCAGAAGACTTTCAGGTGGGAGACCAGAGGCAGGCAAGAGAAATTCAGACTAATTTGCATTAGAAAAAAAGCTGAGAGTGAAGAATTCGTAGGTAAGGTTGCTGTGACTGATACCTTAAGTGCACTGCTGGAGAGCGTTCTGCTCTGTTAGGTAACACCCGAAGCCCCAATCCTGTTACGTAGCATTTCTTTTTTTCTCCCTTTAACTACCCTGAAACTATACAGGGTTACAAGTTCCTCATTAATTTATGAGCGATACCAAAGAATTGACTCAATCCAGCAAGTATTCGAGCACCTTCCCTGTGTGAGGCACTTTGCTAAGAGCTGCAGAAGAATGGAAGGTAGAGGAATTTTCCAGTGAAAACCACAGCAAAACAATGGACCCCCTTGTCAGGTGTAGATGAGGTTTGCACTGCCTCTGCAATTTAAATCAAAACAAAGAGACAACTGCCTGTTTTCTTCTAGGAGTTTTATGGTTTCAGGCCTCACACTTAAAGTCTTTGATCGTTTTGAGTTCATGGCTGTGTGTGATGTGAGAAGATGGGCCAGTTTCATTCTATTGCATGTGGCTGTCCAGTGTTCCCAGCATCATTTGTGGAAAAGACTGTTTTTTCCCCATTGTGTATTCTTGCCTGCTTTGTTATAGATTAACTGACCACTCAAGTGTGGATTTCCTTCTGGGCTCTCTACTCTGTTCTGTTAAGCTTTGTGTCTGTTTGTTTGCTAGTACCATACTGTTTGATGTCTACAGCTTTGTAGTGGAGCTTGAAATCTGGGAAAACTAAGTTGACTTTTCATCTCATTCTAAATGCCATGTGAGTGCCCTGATAGCTTGGTCACTTTGTAGTTTTTCTACCAGTGCAGGTCGTCTGCATTTTATTCAAAATAAAAGATTTTCTAGGAACTGTAACTAAATAAGAAGGTATGTCCATTTTCCCTAGTGTTTGCACTGTCATTGAGTTAATATAGTCAAAATCAACAACAAAAATGAGGGGATGGTGATTTTCCTTTGGTTTCGAATTAGTGAAATTGTGCAGAAAAGAAGACAAGGTCACCATGGGTAAATGTAGTCCTCTGGTGCTTCCCATATTCTATTTTATCTAAGTTCTTTCCTTTTGGGAGATACCTCCAATTTCATGAAGTCCTTCAATTCTTCTTTTGGAAGACAGCTCCAGAGACCAGTCTCAGGAAGTCTTCCATTGTGGATACGAGCAATCATCAAGTACACCATCTCTTCAACTTCACCCTTGCGAACAACTGTATTGGGGGAGGAGGTGGGGGGAGGCAACAGGTCTTTTTAAAAATCTGGCCAAAGCTACGTTATCCCTAGAAAAAACACACACCACTCAAAATATTTTTCAGATGAATAAGACCTCCCTTTAGAACAGGGGCAGTGATTTAGTCAGGGAAATGGAAATGAAGTGAGGATATGGGTAAATCCACAAACTGAGTGGTTAGGACTTAATTTACTTTGGAATGGAATAAATACTTGGTCTTCTGTATAAGAGTTCTGTAAATAGGAAGTAATAATTGTATTATTTGTAAAAAGCTAAAGACAGTAGTCCTATTAATTTCTTAGTCAATATCAGCTTGTATCTTAAATGTTATGAATCCCATTTTTAAATTTTTTCTTGTCCTTCTCAAGAAAAGTGCTTCTGAGACTTTTCTCCCAGTGCTGATGCCCCATTCAGGGCACTTTCTCACAAACCAACTTTTGTAACCACGAATTGTTCACGATGGGAATGGTTCAATTCAAACTTTGAACTTGCTCTCTCACACATACTCATGTTCACCTCTGGGAAGGAGGGGTGTGTGTGTGTGTGTGTGGTATTACATAACTATCATATTCAGTATAAACCACTGTGATGGGGCGCCCGGGTGGCTCAGTGGGTTAAAGCCTCTGCCTTCGGCTCAGGTCATGATCACAGGGTCTTGGGATTGAGCCCCACATCAGCCTCTCTGCTCAGCAGGGAGCCAGCTTCCCTTCCTCTCTCTCTGCCTGCCTGTCTACTTGTGATCTCTGTCTCAAATAAATAAAATCTTAAAAAAAAAAAAAAAACCACTGTGATAGCAGTAGTTGCGTCTTGGGAGAGAGTTGGTTGGTTATTAGGAATCAGCATCAGGAAACATTTTGGACGTAACTTCTTTCAAAGAACAAACCAGCAACCACTGGATTAACTTTCCTTTCTTCTGTCCTAGGGCCGAGGAGCAAGCTCTCCCTGCTCCAGCTCTCAGCCCTACAAATTACAGTTTCACTGAATTGTACCGGACCTCTCATCTGGGGACCTGTCCCCTGCCCTCCGTGTTGTACATTGGACTCGGGTAGGTAGAGAGCCACCTGGCAGTAGGAAACTGGGAAAGTGGGTCATAGGTTGTGATGGATTTGATGAGGAGCACGGGATTTCTTAACGCTTCCAGAGTCCTGAATCGTACACCACAATTTGGAAGAAAAGGGTAAGAGAGAAGATGCCAGAAGCAGCACAGCTTACTTTCTCTTTTTTTAACTTGGATCAGGACCAGCCTAAATGATCTTTAGATATGAAGCAGCTTTGACTTATCTTACTGAGTGACAGCTATGGAGTTGGTCACAACCTTAGAATGCCACTGGTAGACATTAATTGGATGAGTAAACTGGTGGAAATCATGGTTTTATTTTTGTTAATATTTTATTTATTTATTTGAGAGAGACAAAGTAAGAGAGAGGGAGAGCAGAGAGAGAGGCAGACTCCCTGCTGAGCAGGAATTTCCCCCCACCCCAACATGGGGCTTGATCCCAGGACTCTGGGATCATAACCTGAGCTGAAGGCAGACACTTAACCGACTGAGCCAGCCACCCAGGTGCCCTGAGATCACGGTTTTAATCCAAGCTCTGACCTTAACTAGGTATGTGATCTTGGACAAGTAACAAGTCAATTAGGTTCTTTGGACATTCATTTTTTTCTGTGTCATATGGGATCAGTGATTCTCAACTACTAAAGTATAATTCTGTGCATTTGAATCAGAGGGAGAGTTTATAAAAAAGAAAAGTGCTGGGTCAGAGATTTTGATTTAACTGGACTGGGGCATCTAGACATCTCTCTCTTTCAAAAGCCTCCCCGTCCCCCTACCAGGAAATACTAATATCCAGCCAAGATTGAAAATCACTGGGTTAAATAATCACCAACAACTGATTCTAAGATTATGTCACCTGAAGATAGAAAGCAGCCCCATAAAATCCCTTCTATCATAGCCTGGCCCAGGATTACATAGACTCAGTGGTAACCAAGCCTAACATGCCTTCCTTAGAAGCAATCCCTGTCAGGTGACTTCAGTTTATGCAGGAAGGTGCTGTGCCTTCTCACTGGTTCAGTATTCCCACAATGCTTTACGAGTCCTTAACACCCAGTACGTTTTGATGGACTGAACTTGGTGTAATTCTGCCTATCCAAGATGATTAACTGTTCCTAAATGTCCCCAGAGATGATTATCTCTCTCTTCTGGGTATCCATGCCAGTGTTCAATAGCCTGTTGAAATTTTTTCCTAGAAGTGATCTGTGACTGGTAGGGGTATGGGAGAAAAGTGTCAGCAAAGGATAAAGATGATGACCTTGATTGTTGCTGAAATGTGAGCTTCTGTGTCCAAACTAAGATAAAAAAGTTGATCCTCACACCTTCTCAGGTAGTTGTAGACTCTCCAGTTACCAGAAGTGGGACAGGAAAAAAAGAGCATATTGTTTACCTTAATCATTTGTTTGGGACCCAGTCTTGTTGCCATTACATTGTTAATTCTGTAGAGGTTCACACTTTGAAAATTATTCTTAGACTTAAAGATAAAACTTATTGTAATCCATGAAATTTATTTATTTTATCCTACTCTTTTTTCTCCTACTCCCCTTCACATCCCAAAACACCTAGAAGAAGATAAAAACTATGTATTTTTGACTGTCAGAGCAGTAAAAGAGAAATGGACATGAGTTGACAAAAGATAGAAAGGCATTAAGGAGGAAACCTCGAACAAGGGAAAGAAGGCCCATGGATTACAAGGAGCTACACTTAATTTCTTTTCTCTACTCTTCACCTTAGAGCTGCTCCAAGTTTATTCTCAGGCATTCCAAAATTCAAGCAAATCATTGTATTTCACATGCTGTGTGTTGAAAAATACGGACTTGTGGCCCATGATTCCAGCATGTTCCCTGCTGTCTTCCAAACGTGGTGGATAGAGCGTGTCTCCGTAGGTGAACTGGCAGGCTGGACACACTTGGTCTCATCCAGCATTGGCCAATCCCAGGACCTGGGCTAATTCCAAATAATGTCTTGGGTTGGGGAATGTATTTTTTTCTTAGCTTAGGAAAGCTACTGACACCAGAGTGCTTTACCTTTGTGTTTGACAGGAAAAGGCCTTACATGGTATCAAAAATCTAATGGAGACCTACAGAACGAGCTCAGCCCCCAGCCCTTTCCATCTGCCTAGAGAGGTTACATCCCTGCCATTTAAAAAAAAAAAAAAAAGATCTTGTATTGGATTCATTTTTATATGTTTATTATTGATCATTAGTCTCAAATATTTAATAATATTGGGCATATGCTGTTTCATTATTTCATAATTTATTCTTTACCTTCTTCTTAAATAAATTAAGAGTAAATGTGGGGCACCTGGCTGGCTCAGGTGGAGATTGTGACTCTTGATTTCACGGTTATGTGTTCGAGTCCCACATAGGGTGCAGAGATTACTTAAAATCTTTAAAAGCAAGATAGAGGAGTAAATGGACTCTGAAAAGATGGGTTTTGTCCTCATAACTTTAAGTTAAAACTCTAAGTAAAAGTCTTAATTATTAACTCAAATGTCCAGTTATGTGTTTAAGCATTGTTCCTCCCACAAACCTAATTTTTGAAGTTAGTATTGTTAGGGTTGTTCTGGTCCCTAGGATAATAATTCATTTGCTTTTTTTTTTTTTTTTTAAGATTTTATTTATTTATTTGACAGAGGAGTAGGTAGAGAGGCAGGCAGAGAGAGTCCTCCTCTCCTCCCCGCTGAGCAGAGAGCCTGACATGGGGCTCCATCCCAGGGCCCTGGGATCATGACCTGAGCCGAAGGCAGAGGCCTTAACCCACTGAGCCACCCAGGTGCCCCTCATTTGCTTTTTACATCTTTACTCCCTCAAAACAATTAAATGTTGCAAGGTAATCTGAAAAGAATCTCCAGTGGAAATGTTGCAAGGTAATTAGAAATGATAAAATTTTCTTAACTAGACCCTGTCTGATCGAACACTTTTAACAACAGAGTCTAAAGCTAGCAGGGGTTTTCATTTCTTCTTTTCTTCCTCAGTTCACTCTTTCATTCAACAAATGACCATTGAATTCCTGTTCTGTGCCTGTCCCCTTTTGGCTTTCATTCTCATGAAGGGAAGAGATCAGACAGAAAATGAATTAATGTACAGTGTGAGTCAGAGAGTGATGTGTGCTATGAGTAAAAATAAAGCTGGGAAGAAGGCAGTGGAGGGGCTGGTTGTGCAATTTTTGAAATAAGATAGTTAGGAAAAGCTTCAGCTGAGAGAATGATGTTGAGCACAGACTTGAAGGTGGTGACGGAGAAGGTTCTGGGGAGCTCTGGGGCAGGAGTCGCGTGCATGCCTGGCACACAGCAGGGAGATCCCCGTGGCTAGAGCAGAGTGACAAGGTGGGGAGTAGGAGGAAATGAAAGTGGCGGGTGTGGGGCAGGAGCCTGGGAGAATGCTGAAGATGGAATGGGGCCTTTTAGGACCTTTTCAGGGGGGTTCTTGTGAAGGGATAGGAAGATGAGGTTTCTTACTGTTCAGTCAAAATTCCAGCAGCCCTGTGATCTGTTTCTCTGTTTCTTCTTTGTTACAACCTCCTGGTCGTCTCCAGCTTTCCCTTCCTCACCAATAAGCCCCAACCCATTCTTTCCCTTGGGATTCCTTTCTCCCCAAGGCTGGCCATGAAGTGGGATTCAGCCTCCCATTCTCCTTGCTGGCTTGGTACCCTTCAGGTGAGGCTCTCCCTTCCTTTTTAAAAAATGCACTACTAGGGGGCGCCCGGGTGCTTAGTCCGTTAAGCATCTGCCTTCAGCTTGGGTCATGATCCCAGGATCCTGAGATTGAGCCCCGCATAAGGCTCCCTGATCAGAGGTGAGTCTGCTTCTCCCTCTGCCTGCTGCCCCTCCCCCTGCTTGTGGGCGCGCGCGCGCTCTCTCTCTCTCTCTCTCTCTCTCTGTCTCTCTGTGTCAAATAAATAAATATAAATCTTTAAAAATAAAAAATAAAAGAATGCACTACTAATTGGTAAAGAATAAAAACTGTCAGGTACTATCAAAGCCAACAATGGTGAGAGAAGTTAATAAATGTATGCAAAATATATCTTGGTTTCTCCTGTAGCCCAGGCAGAAAGGGGCCGCACTGCTGGTTGGCTGAATTTAGTCTGCGTGTTTTGTTGGGTCTGCACGTGGTTTTATAAATACTTGTGTAACATTGAAAAGGTGATAGTTTTGTCAAAATGTTGTTTCAAGTTCTCTTTAGAAATTGGATGTTCTGGGGCACCTGGGTGGCTCAGTGGGTTAAAGCCTCTGCCTTTAGCTCAGGTCATGATCCCAGGGTCCTGGGACTGAACACTGCATCGGGCTCTCTGCTCAGCAGGGAGCCTGCTTCCCCTTCTCTCTCTCTGCCTGCCTCTCTGCCTACTTGTGATCTCTGTCAAATAAATAAATAAAAAATCTTAAAAAAAAAAATTGGATGTTCTGTTTATATGAAGTTGTGGAATGCAGAGCCTGGGTGGCTCGGTCAGTTGAGCATCCAACTCTTGGTTTCCGTTCAGGTTATGATTCAGGGTCCTAAGATCCAGTCCCACTTTGGGCTCTGCGCTCAGTGTGGTGTCTCCATAAGTTTCTCTCTCCCTCTCCCTCTGCTCCTCTGCCTCCCCACCTCCCCACCTCCCCCTACACTCTTTCTCTCAAATAAATAAATATATAAATATCTCAAATATAAATATATATTTATATATTATTTATATCATAAATTATATTTTATATATAACATATATTTAATTACATATATCTAAATATATAATAAATAAGTATATCAAATAAATAATAAAAGTTATAGAATAGGCAAAACTAATCTTTGGTGATTTTAGGGATATGGCAGGGATTAACTAGATATGAGCCCAAGGAAAATTTCTGGTTGATGAGAAGGTTCTATTTATAATAGTCTGAAATGCACAGTGGAGCTCATTAAACCACATACTAATGTAGGCAGCTCACTGTATGTAAATTGAACCTGAATGTAAAGAAAATTTTTAAATGGAAGCCAGTATTCAGCCAGAGCTGGGTG